AGTCGGGCATGCTGCGTTCCTGTGCAAGTATGTATTTATACATATATATGTATATGTGTACGGGTATAACACATATCGCCGTACAGACATGTAGATATACGCATATGCATGTATGCACATAAACATATAACATATATGTATGTATAGGCCCGTGATCCTAGCACATGATGGTAACCAAACATGCACAGGGGCGTGTGAGGCACCATGTATCTCAAACCAATCACAGGCACCAAGTGCCAGGTTTCGTACTACTGTCACCTACATAGGGGCCGAACCACTGTGACGCGGCAGGCTTGCTGGAATTCGGTCCCTCACGCTGGTCAAACTCCACAACAGACGCACACATTTGATTTTCAGATAGCATCGAGAGATCTCCTTGTGAAATGATGCTCCGCGCTTGCTAGGGCTTAGTGCGCATCAGCACTGTTCTTTTCATGAACCGCACATTAAAGTGGATCAAACCAGACCGCGACCTGCCCTGAGCTGCCACGAGCGCATGAGTTCCAAAAACCAGGAGTTCCTGCTTCTAATGCAGCTTCTGCCCTCAAAACTGTGCAACCTCCTGTAGGGTGTGCGCTCAGCTATTCTCGTCGCTATCACCGCCATTGTGGTTCCGGGCTTCGCCATGGTGGCGCTCCATGTCCTCACCTCCATCAGGACCGGCGGCAGCAGCAGGCGCAGCCGCCGCAGGGCGCCGCATTATTGCCAGGGCTCGCCACCGCTCCGCACGTTCCACACGGTCTGCAAACTCCTGCTGCACCTGCTGGTTTGCGAACCTGTCCAAGCGGCTCAGGCTCTCGGCGAATGCCTCTGCAGACCGTTCGGGAGACCCGCTGAACTGGGAAGCTCTGGTGGGAGGCTCTGGTAGGCAGGCTCTGGTGGCGACGGTACTCTGAAGCCTAGAACCGAAAACGCAAAACCCAAAACCCAAAATCCAAAACCCAAAACCCAAAACCCAAAATCCAAAACGCAAAATCCAAGACCCAAAACCCAAAACCCAAAATCCAGAACCCAAAATCCAAAACCCAAAATCCAAAATCCAAAACCCAAACCCCACACTCCAAAACCCATTCTCTTATAAAATCCAAAACGCAAAACCCAAAAGCCAAAACGCAAAACCCAAAATCCAAAACGCAAAACCCAAAACGCAAAACCCAAAATCCAAAACCCAAAATCCAAAACCCAAAACGCAAAACCCAAAATCCAAAACGCAAAACCCAAAACCCAAAATCCAAAATACAAAAGGTCTTCCCTCTGCTTTTGACTTAAGCAAGCCACTTAGAACCCAAAACGCAAAACCCAAAATCCAAAACCCAAAACCCTGAATCCAAAACCCAGAACCCAAAACGCAAAACCCAAAATCCAAAACCCAAAACCCAAAATTCTGAGGATGCATCTGTTCAATTTTTTAAAAACGTAAGGTTTAGGGTA